GTGAATAGCTGGTCACAAGCTAAAAAAAGTTTAATTTTTATTCAACTGATATACTAATTCTAATCTAATAATTTAATGTAGAATAAATAAAGACCTTTTAAATAGCATACCACCAAGGAGTCCAAAGAGAACTGAATATATCAAGAACATAGTGTAATTACTGCAGAAAGGACAAAGAATAGTAAGAATTCCGGCGCCTATCAGCGAAGTATTATGCAAAGTTAAAGCAGAAATCCATTTCCGGTCAGCTAGCCAACCGAACAACAGTCGACCTTTAAAGTTGATGAAGTGATAATTGAAAGAAAGTCAAATTGCAGGCACTGAAAATTGTCCTACAAAAGAGTCGTGCTTCTAAGTAAAACTTAGCATACAGGTTGCTAACTGCTCTAAATTTCAACAGATCTCGAAACCTTTTACTTAAAATCATAATCTTCACAAACAGCTAATTTCCTTTTTATAAAACTTTACACCACATATGTTTTTCACGCCTTTCCTATTTGTGAAAACGTAAGAGAAAAGACCTGTAGTATTAAAAATGCCAATGATAGAAACAAGAAGTTTTGCGTCGTCGTATGAAACACCTTTCGATACAGCTAAATCTGCAGGAAAAACAAATGGTACATAAAACCCTGTCATTGCCAGTAAATTTGTCAATACCATCAAAATTTCAACAGGTTCTTTCATTAATTTCAGGTAAGCGTCTATCATCCGTACTTTACTTCTGAAGATTATGTGATCAAGTTTTCGAAACAGGAGAAAATTTACGATCTTCCCTTGAAAAATCACTATCAACACTGTTTACTCTATTATATTTTTTAGGCAGTCGAAATAAGTAGTTTAGACCAGGTGAACATTAAAAGTAAACAAAGTTTTTTTGTAAAAAGAAAAATAATTATAGAGTTAATAGAAACTTTTTGCACTGACCCATCTGTTGAAGTCCCGCCTGAAACTTGTACAGATTTTATTTGACTTTCGACTGTAACAACAGCCTCTTGCAGTTTCTCTCCTAAACGACTTAAAACTGAAAGTAACTTCTTAATAACCTACAAAAAAAAAATAAGAAAAAACACAAGAAAAATTTGCATTTTTCAAACGCTTAGTTAATAGCTAGCTGATAAAGAGAAGACTTACCATTACTCTTAGACTCCACCAGAGTTTCAACAATCCCTTGGCTGGGAATATCGTTATCAGGAACTAGTCTAGAAATAGTTTCTTGCCTAGTTTGCTCCTGAAAGGACGTTACATAAAAAGTTTGTATCCAGTAACCAAATGCATATTGAGTGTATTGTTCATTTAATTAATTTTACACGCCCAAATAAGGCAAAGTTTGAAAGTTCAGCAAAAAACTTCTTTTTCTAATTCTTGTATTAGTCTTTAGTTGATTTGACACTGGCTTTTCAAAGATGCATTTTAAAAACAGAATAAGTAGGAAAGATGCTCACAA